GAGATTTTTTTTATATTATGTAATTCTGATAAACTAAAAGTAGAGTTATTTATAAGAAATAAAAACACAGAATATCTTAAATGCTAATAAAAATCAATTTAAATTTTATACCTTATGAAATAAGCAATATTTATCCCAAATATAGACTTTCTTAATGATTGCTACATGAGAATATACTTAATATACAGGATGTCTGATAATTATCCTTCTGATAATGTTCATGGACGAGTAGAGGGATTAAACATTACGTCTCAACATTAATCGGGTTATTTTAACTCTTATTATTGTCATTACTAGTTAAATTATAATATCTTGTTAAATACTTTCATAGTATTTACTATTAATATATACAATAAAAATTTCATAATTTTTATAATAAATATAATATATGATTTATGCAATCTAATCACGAAAACATTTACAAAATATTAAATATATAAATTTTACAAATATTTTCTAAATATTCTATAAATATTGTCTGGGGAAAATTACCAGACATCCTATATATATATATTTTTTTTTTTAAATAATTTAATTTATGATATCGATAATACTTTCCTAAAATTATTAATTGAAATCATTATTATATAGATGTCAACTGCGGCAAAGTTCTTCCGATTTTAAATGGTGCAGTGGATTACGCAAATGATACGACTCATCTTAGCAGTGAAATCACGTATAGTTGTACGAGAAATTACAGACTGAATGGAATCTCGAGGAGATATTGCCTCGATAATGGTCAATGGAGTGACGCTACTCCGAAATGCGAAGGTATAATTACACTCAGCGAACGCATAGAACATCAATCGTCATTTTGGCCTTACGTTTCTGTGTGCATTTGTATATTATATTGTTTTTATCTTAGAAATTCGTTGTCCGGAGCCCGTATTAGCCGAACATGGAATTCTCTCGGTTACTGGAAATGATCGAATGTACGGGAGGACATTGATTCGCACGGGAACCGCGGAGAACTCGAACACGGGTGCGACTTCGTATAAGATTGGAGCCCTGGCGAAGTACAGATGCGAAAGAGGATATAAAGTAGTAGGAGAACCTTTGTCTACCTGCGAGGAGAATGGAAAGTGGAGCGGCGAAGTACCACAATGCGTCTGTAAGTATATCCTTCAAATATCTTAGCCTATATAGTCACCGAAAAATCTATTTTATCGAGTTAATTACTTTTGCGCTAAATTATGTATAGATTCTGCAGGATTGTGCTACAAAAAATATATTTTAAAATTCCTTGACTTTCCTAGGTTTTTCAGATGAAAATGGGAAAACTCCCATGATTATAATATATAAAGTATATAAATTTTAACATTTAAAATCAAGGATTGTAAGAAAGCCTAGCCTATATTATTAAAAACAATTGTTCATTTCGACAGATGTCGATTGTGGTAAACCCGAGCACATTCAACACGGACGTTATACATTGACGTCGAATGCAACGTACTATGGAGCAGCTGCACTTTATGAGTGCGACAGCAATTTTGAGCTAGATGGATTTGCCAGAAGATTATGTCTTGAAAATGGCACCTGGAGCAGCGATACCCCAGTCTGTCAAGGTACGAAGATACTTAATTCTCAAAAAAGCTGTGAAAGATAAATAACGAAATCTTATTACGTTTAGTTGATTTTAAATTAACTTCGATCTTATATTATTTTATTTTAACATATATTCAAACGCTTAGCAAAACTAAGTGATTCCAAGTAGCGCGCAGCACCTATAAAGAGTTAAGAAAGCGCTAAAAAAGTATATACAAGTGCTTTTTTTAGTGCTATGCAAACGCTGCTATGCTGCTTGGGATGGAATTAGTCATTAAATTTTATAAAGATTAATCACAGCGATTATTTACAGAAATACGATGTAGAGATCCGGAGAAAACTGGTGTGCTATCAACGCAAGTGTCTACTCATAGTGTGGGTGGTGTAGCACATTATAGTTGTCCACGTGGGTTTTACATGGAGGGAAATGAAACTAGAATCTGTTTGCAAAATGGATCTTGGAGTGGAACAACGCCTGCTTGTTTCTGTAAGGAATTTTTTGACTAATTTTTTTATTTTCAATATATGCGTGTATATAAATAAGCTGCAGTATGTACTGTCAGAAATAAATTACAATATCTAGAAGGAAATGTCATTTTAACATAAAAATCTATAAATATGTTGGGAGAATTAAATTAAATTTTGTATCATTCAATATAAATTCTTTTGTATATGAATAAATTAAGAAATATATCATTGAAGTATTATGATGAACTATTGGAAGAATTTAAAATCCACTCTCGATATTTTTTTAGCGGTTGATTGTAAGCATCCGGGACCGATAGAGAACGGCAGAGTAATAGTAGTGAATGGATCGACGACTTACGGAGGAGCCGCGGAGTACCACTGCTTACCACAGTACGAAAGGATCGGCATATTTCTAAGAAAATGTTTAGACACAGGGTACTGGAGTGGCGAGGAACCAAAATGCGAATGTGAGTAAGATATCGATATCATATCTTTGGAATGTTTAAATATTTAAATAATATCGCTTTTGAGATAATATATAGTACTTTTCTTACTATAAAAATTTTTCAAACTTTATCGGCTCATTTCCAAAGTTTTCTAAAAACTAAATATTAAAAAAAATTTCATCAAAGGTAGCAGATTACTCAAAATAAACTGTTACGAATTGTTTATTTTATGCGTCGAGAAAATAAGTACGGTGAAAAATTTGAATCAGATGCATAACTGTTGTTTGTATTGCAGTGGCCACGAATGAGATAGCAGAACCTCAAGGTGTAGGCACGAGTGTTGGCATCGGAGCTGGCGTCATTATTTTTGTATTAATTATCCTCGGATTAATTTATCTTAGACTGTGAGTACTGTTTCTACGAAATAATACGCACATTCTGTTGAAAACGTATTTACGAATTATATTCACAGACGAAAAGCTACGCCAGTGAAAAATACCGAAAATGTTCAAGCCGCGGAACGAAAAGAAGATCAAAACGCCGCCGTCATGTCTTACGCGACATTGAATGATGGCACGCATAATACCATGTATGAGAATGTCCCGGAGGATGGTCTCTACGATAATCCGTACAGTCTAGGTGGCAACGCGTACAGGTAAATCACAACTATGTAAAACAACTTAAAGAAACGCACTAATTTGAGAAAAATATATCAAATTACATGAAAAATACGTATGAAACTAATACGTGGAAATGTATAAAGTTGTGTTTTTATCATAAAAATTAATACTTTTATATCTCTAATTGTGTATAAATATATCTTTATGTTTGACGGAAAATTACAGTAATAATATATTTTATAATTTCTGTGTAAATGTACAAATTTTTGTAATATTATAACATATAATAGTAATATATCATAATATTTATATTTTTATGTTCGTACATATCAAGAAGATAACTTAAGAAAAATTGTACGAAATAAATAAGATAAGAGATAAATACAGGATTAATTGATATTGTGCTATATAAATTAATATGTATTTGCAACAGATACGGCGGCCATTCAAGAAGAGTGTACGGCAGATCTGGACATTACGAGGCCGAACCAGTTTCCAACAGGAATGGAATCACTATCAACGGCGTGTCTGTGCGATAGCTCGTAATTCCATCGACTTTATCTTTCTCCATATCGGGAATTGCACGTAGAAAACTGCCAATCTCTCGCGTACAGTTTTCGCCATTCTCGAGATGTGTACAAAAACACCGAAGAATTTGTCGTTATTTATATAACTGCCTGTCGAAGGCGCAATAATTCATGTAAATAATTCATGAAGGAAAGAGAGGAAGAGACGTGTGGAAAGGATTACACACCAACGTGATTTTTTTCCCCGAGGATCAGCTATTTTGTATGATTCTGTATATACGGTGTATCAAACCATTTAGGTTCATTATACGTAAGCTTTAAGTAATGTAACATGTTGTAGCGTAAGTTTACAATTGTGCGAATAAAGAAATCAATGCTCTTGTTGTATTTCTCACTTTGTCACATTACTCTCTTAATTTTCCCTATTTTTTTAAAGCTAATCCTTGGAAATTCGATAGGTCTATTATATAAAATTCGTTACAGAATTTGACAGAATTTTTTATTTCTAGCAATATTTTTACTCGATATTGATACGAATGACAAAAGTCTAATAAATGACTTTGACAACATCACCCAAGATCAAACTAATAGTACCCTCTTATATTTCCCTTTAAACCTTTTACAACTTAATTTTATTTAAAACATTTTTCCGTATCTCTTTCAAAATATTTCAAGATATTTCGGTGTCCAAGTTAAAATGAGACACCCCGTATTAGTCTCGCTCATATCCTTATATGGTTGCGAGTCGGTACGTACAAGATACATTAATGATCCATGTATGGTAGTGATTCTCGATACAGGGCTGTAATAACTTACGGATCATGCCAATAAAAAATTGTAACTAAATCGATTATATATGCATATTCTATATTTATACGTATACTATGTCACAAATATCTTTTTCCAGCAGTCTATACAAATTATTTTGCTTTTTCATGTTCAATCGAGTAAAGGAACATTTATACTGGCCGTAATTGTATGTTTGTATGCGTAATCTGTAAGAAATTGACTGAAACATGCAAATGGTACTATCCTTATAAAATTAAAAAGTAAAACCCAAGTGGTACTGTCTTTAAAAATGCAAGTGATATAATCGAATGAGCGCAGAATATCCGAATGTAATTGCTCAATTCTTACAGATTACGGTATATACGATTGCTCCTTTACTTTTCATACGTGTTTATCGATGAAAATGTAACTCAAACAACAGAGGCCTTGAATGATAACCGAATAAAAAAGTGACTCACCGAATATCCTGCGAAGCGGGGGAAAAATTGGAACACGATCCTGACCGGTGACCTGGATTTTTTCGAACTGCGATTTTCGCGGCACACGATTCCGTTTTCCAGCCTTCCAGGGCTTCCAGCAGATGGTGCTGGCACTGCTGGCTCAGCAGGCTGACGCACTGACGGCGGACGGCGGGTGTGGTGAATGACTACGGAGTGATTCGTAAAGTGATTCACAGTGTGCATTGTGAAGCTGAGATCCACTTTAGCTTACTAGTCCCATTTCCTCTCGTTTACCATTCACTACTGGTGAGTACGTTTCATTTAAATTGTGGAACAATCGGGGTGAAACGAACGAGTTTCTATCCCTGAATTGTAGCACGCGCGACCATGTTTGATAGGGAATCTCGTTCTCGTAAGGGCGGCCATTGCCGTTCGCAAAGCATTTAATACTTTCCCAAATCTCATTTCGCTTGTAAGACCTAGAACCCCGTTATTCCTATATATATCCCAGAACAAGATGAGCGATGAGTCGAATGTTCCTTGGCCAGGTTATGTATCGACATAATCGGAGGCGATGTATGTGAGGGAAGCGTGTTAAACAGACGCGAATGCAGTGCTGTAGATAATGATGGACACAGTGAATGCAAGGTATTCAAGATCGGTAACAATTTTCATGCTTGCTCCTCGATGCATTGCTGAAAATAGAAATATAAACATTTATCTGTCATCGACGTAAGTTTACGACAAATCAGACTCAATGTATCTCAAATTAAATTTATGTCAATTCCGACTTGCAATGCACCAAAAGTCTATGCTGATCGCGACGGCACTGAGCGCAAGAGAGATGCGAGATTCGAGGAAAAGTAGGACGCGATTCGAGGGGAAGTAAGCGCATGCTCGAGTAAAAACTGCTTTAAAGTCCATGAAAGACGATTGCGAAAGAAACTTCGTTTATATATAAATGTATTAAATTTCAAAAAAATATACACATATTCTTATTAAATAAAAATCTCAGATATACAGAATATTTTGATATGCGTGCGTGAAGAAATTGTTTTATAAGTATATTTATAAAACGTATTATAAAATACACACAAGTGTTTTATAGATGGTTATTCATAATCGGTTCTTGTTATAAGACCGTTTTAAGTAATACATATTTATGATAAATATAAATAAATTTTTTATTTGGGTTGTAATGTCTTATTAAGTATTTTCATAGTATTTACTATATACAATAAACTAAGACTAAAGAAAAAATTATACTCTATAAGAAAATATTATACTCTATATGAATACAATATATAAATTTTCATAAATGCAGTTCTTTAAAACAGAGCTGTATCGTTTAACTTATATAATGTGTATATTGAGTTCGTTTGGAGACAGAAAGACTTCTTAAGATTGGAATCGTGACTAATATTTGAATTTTCAGTAGGTACATACGAGATTATTAAAGATGTCTTCCCGCAAAACTGCCGGTCGCCGTGCCACCACAAAGAAACGCGCTCAACGTGCGACATCGAATGTTTTCGCGATGTTTGACCAAGCGCAAATCGCCGAGTTCAAAGAGGCTTTTAACATGATTGACCAGAATCACGACGGATTCATCGACAAGGAGGATTTACATGATATGCTAGCCTCTTTGGGTAAATAAAAACTTGAGAAAGAAATACAAAGAAAAAAGTTGAAGATATATCCACGTAGATTTATACAAATGTCTATGATTATTGTCTTTTAGATTAAGATAACATATAGGTAGAACATAAGCAGAAATAAATCATCTTTTACAGGCAAGAATCCTACTGATGAGTATTTAGAGGCAATGATGAATGAGGCACCTGGACCTATAAATTTCACGATGTTCCTGACATTGTTTGGAGAGAGACTACAAGGAACTGATCCTGAAGATGTGATCAAGAATGCCTTTGGTTGTTTTGACGAGGAAAATACTGGTCATATAAATGAAGAACGTCTTCGTGAACTGCTCACGACGATGGGCGATAGGTAATACATGTTATTGTATTTTATGATACCAAAACTGATCATTTTCAATATTACAAAATTGCAATTTATTAGATTATTTTACCAGTTTCAAAGATATATTTACCTACAAATAAAATTTAGCTTCTTTGGATACAGATTTTATTTAAAAAAAAAAAAAAGAATAAAAGGCTAAGGCAATAATTGCCTAGTAATTGGCTAATTAATAAAAATATTATGAATAATAATTATTGTACTATCTTAGATAATAATTATGAATTAAATTATTGGGCAATATATATTATGTATACAGTTCTAGTACATTTTTATGTGCAGTTATTTTCATTCCTAATAATTATCAATTCGTCAATGACATTTAAGAAATAATAATGTATAATAATCACGATATCGATGACATGTTATTAAAATAATGAAATCGAGATAATTATTTACAAAATATTTGTGATAATCAATCGAGGAAGATCGAAAAACGTGTAACTTACCTAATTTTTTTTTTAATTATTTGTTTTCATTATACATTTTCGAATCTTCCAGCATTATAAATATATATAACCTTTTAAAAGGGCTGATTTTAGTTCTTATGTGACTAATATAATACATGCATAAATGTTTCATGTATTAAATCTTCGTTTAAAAATATTATAAATTCTCTATTTTAAAAATACAAATTATTTTTTTATGTAATTTTTGAGTTTTTAAGGCAGAACATTTTTGTCTTTAAAGCAGAGAAATTGGTTCTTTTAAGGGTTACAATACATTTGTAATATCGAAAAAAAAAAGTGAAAAGTTACGCTGAAAATAAATAGATAAAAAAATAAATAGATTACACATTTTTCGATCTTTCCAGATTGATTATCAGCAACAAGAGTTACGACAAAAATTTTTTATTAAGATTGTAAAAAAAAACATATTAAAGTTCGAAAAAGGTTCTATTGTAAATAATTACCAAAATCAATTGGCATTCTTGAATGATTATATAAAATCTTAACTGATTTTTTTTAGATTTACGGACGACGATGTAGACGAGATGTACCGCGAGGCACCGATCAAAGGCTCTATGTTTGACTATTTGGAGTTCACTCGAATCCTGAAGCACGGCGCGAAAGACAAGGACGAACAGTAGTGAGGATTTACTTAAAAAAGTTTATCGCATATCCTCTCTCTCTCTCTTTCTCTCTCTCTCTCTGACATGGAATGTTAGATAATATTAAAAATTTCTCGCATGTCTTTCGCGTTTTTTGGTTCAACGAATCCTAGAGCCATGAAACATGAATAATTGTTTTCTGATTTCATTGATTAGAAAATTATGTACGTACACACCGAACAATTTCAAATCGTAATCTGCATTAGAAATTATAGTTTCGTTTTCTTGGAAATGTCTATTCGTATTTATACTTGTCGAATTTGAAAACGTAAACTGAATAATTATGAGATATATTTAGAAGCGTGAGGTGTGTATATATATATATATATATATATGTCAAATAGAAAAATTTTGTTGAAGTATTTAAGAATAACAACTTTTCAAATGATTGCTGTACAGTCAGTAAAAGTTAAATATGTAAGATATTTATATACATAATGCAACATGTAACTCTGTTGTAGATTCAGCATTTATATTTTAATATAATATTCTATTGCATACGAAAGTCGTCTTATTTATTAAACCATTTCAGAGATTATCGTATAATAACATAAATATCTCCTTCATTAATAGTAATTTATGTAGATATAGCAACATATATTTATATATGTGTATGTATAATATAATATATATTGTTATTGATAAAGGAGATAAAATTATTCTACCAGAAATGTAAATATATTTATACAGTCTTGACAATGATTATTTGCATAGAACTCGAGCTGAACAAGCCAGAACTATCGCCAGAAGTGTCGAAAATTATCGCCACAATATATTTCTACCGAATGCTGTAGTATATAATAGTTAAAAGTATTTAAAAAATTGAACCTTTACAAGCACTTGATACGCGTATTAACTAGTAGCTTTCTATTAAATTATTTTAATTTCAGCAATGTATTTAAAAAATAGTGTACGGGGGACGAGCCGGAATTTTCATCAAAAATGCCAAAAATTATCAGCACGCTTTTCTGTGGAGTACTAATATTTAAAACACACTATAAAAAAATATTAATATTGAAATTTTATCCTGAAACGTTTATGTATAAATAAATGGATATAATGAATTTAGTCTAAACTTAACGGGAACACGTAACAGATGTCGCCATGTCATAATGTTTGGTGATATTTAGTATGGGTCTCAGCACAAAAGTTTCTTTCCATTTACACACAATGATCAGAGTCTCGCTACAAATATTTTGAAGCATTTGCTGACCAATCAGGAGAAAGAATTTTACAAATTGACCAAATAAATTTCATACTTAGATTAACGACGTCACTCTTTGCTTACTTTGGTAAAGTTATCACATGGCAACACAAATTCAGAACCTTATTTGTAAAGTGAGTTCACGAGACTTGTCAGTTTAAAGTACACGGTCCCGATTTTGTGCAGATTGTAGGTAAAACTCAGTTGAATCTTGTCAGAATGCAAAAGGAATTTAATGCGCATTTAACTAATTGTAAATTATGACGTCGTAAATGAAAATTATCTGAGAATCGGTGCAAATGAAAAACAATTGATGGTCATAACTGAGTTGTGAAACGTGAGTCATAGGATGCGTTCCGTTTCACGCATGGACCGCATGAGACAGCGTGGACACAGCGCATCACACGATTGGCTAGTTCCGTTCCTCTATACGCGCACGAAAAAAACAGAACGAATTCGGCGGCTATTGTGGTTCATGTGTGCTCGGTGTAAACACGATGTAAAAGCACAAGGTGTAGCAATACACATAATGGCGATAGCAATGGTGGAAAGACTGGCAAGAATCAATCAAATTTTGCCAAATATGCACTTTCCTGCGTATAACAGCGCTGACGTACTGGAACAGCCAATCAAATTTTGCCCAAAATTCACTCTTCTACTGCGCATCCACGGGAATGTTTTACTTTGTATTCTTACATCATAGCTGTAAACAGACCGGATGTCTCATCGTGCTGTTTATTAACACCTACTGCCAATTGTTGCCGCTAGAAATTCAGCATCGAATATGTCGAACATCCATAATTTGTCATTTACATAAATTTGCAGTTCTTCCATTTAAAAAATTCTTTCACACTAAAGAATATATGGGCTGCGTGCTGTATAGGCGCGCACGATCTGTCGATATAAGTTATTTGACGAACTTCTATGACGTGATCTGGCCGGAAGTCTATATCTCTAGAGGTCCGGGTTCGATTCCCGACCGAGGTAATATTTTTCGTAATAAAAAATTATTTATTTACAGATTTTAATATGTTTATTAATCATTATTAAGATCGATCTCAGATGCTCAAAGAGCACCAAAAATTGTTGAATTGTTAGTCAATTTAACTCGCGACATTACTGCGGTAGTTCAATAGTGTTGCGTTTCAAGTCTGATAAATTCAGTCCACAATTAAAAATCTACAAACGTAGTATATTAATTCATACGCAATTATACAGAAGCATCCGAGATCTAGCTTGATCGGTTTTTATTGGTTTAAATTCTTACGGTCCTATAAGATTTGATATTGTTTATATTTACATTAAAGAACACTTGGTACTTAAAAAAAAAATTTTAATTATAAAATTTGCACTAAGAATTAGCGTTGGCTTCTACGCCCTTTAACTTTTATTTTTCTCAATATTTATCAATGTTTAACAAATGTTGTTTCATTATTAATTGTAGAATTAAGTATTCGTCTTGTCGTATTGATAAGAAGACAATATTAGGGCGAGCATGGACATATATTCTTTTTTTTTAAATAAAAAATATATTATTTAAACACTAAAAATCCAACTTCAACTATTACGGTTCAATTTCCTATTCATTGTGTATTCACATATATGAGATCCAATAAGATTCTTATTATTTATATATATCGCTTGAAAAAATATGAAATAGGAAAAAGGATAAAAAATCAAGAAGTACAAGACAAAAATATAGAGGAAAAAAAAAAATAAAATAAAAATCTAAGTGAAACAAAGTTACACTTTGACGAGCAATGCGATAACAAATGAGTATATTATTTGCGAGTAATATAATAAGATTACCAACTTGTATATATCACGTTTACAATTAGAAAAAGATTCGCGTGCAGGCACGACAGTAAATCGTTCCCGATGCCTGTGAAGTGAAGCGCGAGATGACAGCCGGGCGCGCGCATGCGCATACAGTCCCAACTGCGACTATGCCGTGCCGAACGGCACTTTCCGAGTGTCAGAAAGTATCAGTCTTCTCTTTACCGCGTATGGGATTACGTCGCGGATACGCGGAGCGGATCCACGTAGCGCCCCGTCCGTCCCTGTCCTTCGTGCTCGCTCGGTCCGGTTCGTCCCGAGTCAGCAGCCCGTTACGAGCGACGAGCACGGAGTCGCCCCCGCTTTCTTCGCGCCAACGGTAAATAGAGCGGGGCCAGCTTACTCCGCGCGCTGTGCGGATTAATCGACGGGGCTGCAGGGCTCCCTTTCCCCCCCCCCCTCCCCCCGCACTCTAGTCGCGAGTGCATCGTGTATATTCGAGCGACGCACCGCGCGTCACGGTCGACTTCGGGGCAGTGATACGGTGCGATCGAGGGTGTAGAGGGGAGCAAAATATGAACTCGATCGGCCCCACGTCCCCCCGCATCGAGGACAATCGAGGATTCCACGCTCGAAGCCCCAGGATTCGCGCTCGGCACCTGCCGTGAGATACGTCGCGTAAGTTCGATCACACTTCAATCGCATCCCGCGTCGCAGCGTGTATGCAGCTTGTGTCATCGTTAAGGATATATATTGTGCCTACCGTGAGCGATGTTGTTACCTCGCGACTACGCGGGTCCGCCGACAAATAATATAGCCGTTCGCGAGGCGACGTTCCGCCGCGAGTGCAGTGTCGCAACGCCGCGCGGATACGTGCGTTGTCATCAATAAAAAGCGACGCACCGATCGTGACGTTACGTCCTGACGTTGCACGTCCCGCTGTCGCGGTGTCTTCCTGTCGGAAGTTGGCCGTGGATGTTACTCGCCGAAGACACCCGTTTAACGAAGATCGTGCAACATTGGGCGAATATTCGTCATGAGAGCGCAATAACTCCGTAATTTTTCTTATGACCCTACAACGCGACGCGATGGGTGGAATACTCCGGTACATTTCCTAGTGTTCGTTGCGGAAATTCCGAACTAGAGTGAAACGGTGAGCGTTTCTGTCGTCCGCGTGGTCGATCCGGAACAACCTGCGGTGTTTTGAATTAACCGAAGAGAATCGCGACGGAAACCATTATACGAGTGGAATCTCGCGATCACGCGATTAAATTGATCAGTGCGCGCCGAAATCGCATCGCTCCCCCGTCGGTCCTCGAGTGCCATCGGATGCGTGAGAAAGTGCAGCTGCGGCAGTAACAGCAGGGTGGTCGGGAGGAGAGGTTAGGCGAGGCCGACACCCACCGAGCGAGTCGATCAGCTGTTCCGCGGTACCGACATCATTGTCGTTTCGGACGCAGGTACGTGTATCAGTTTTCACTTTTCTGTCGCGCTGTCGAGATCGTCGATCGAGATCATTGTGTCGAGAGACGAGGGTCCTGGCGCCTGGTATCGATCGGCGAACGCTCTTATTCGACGAGGATATCTTCGAATATCGTCGTCTGGAGGGAATTTTGTTTTCATCCGTTCCGTAATAAAGCAATTAGGGTTCGTTTTGTAGATGCGCGTATCAACGATGATATATCATTAATATCCGTACTTTTCCTTTTATAACACACTTTATCCCAGAGATCCTCTTGGAAACGACCTCAAGAGTATTTTTCGACGTTCTCCCGAGAACGTCGAAAATAGAACATCCCATGAAGATTTCCCAGAAAACACTGAATTACACGTAATGCTAGGTGCAGTTATTTCCCACTTAAATAGCACGAGTTTTTTTTTTAATTCAACGATTGATCGATCGCATTATGCGCAAATGCAACTTTGGCGGAACAAAATTATACATTTGCACACAATGCGATCGATCAATCGACGAATTAAAAAAACTCGCCCACGACTGTAATATAACGTGTTATATTCTAGTTACATTGTTGTTGAGCGGCAAATTACTATTAATGTTACTTGCAACTTGATGTTCGCTGGGTTATATGGGTTATCTAACGGATATCTTGAGAATGTCCTGGGAGTGTCCTGGAAATTTGTTTAGGATGCGTACTCCCTTCTCTAAGTGCTGTACTGTACGAATAGAAATTGATAGTAAATAAGAATCTGCAATCAAATAATAAAAGCAATATCTTTCCATTTCTGTTTATAAAATTTAAATAGACTCGTGAATTTATATACTTTACTTACTTGAGACGACCAGCTTGTTAAAAAGGCAAATGACATGAAAAGAAATTCAATATTAACTGTCGTAATTAAATTTTAATAGATAAACATTTTTGTTTACATTTGTTAAGAAAACACGTAAGAAATATATTATTATATTTGCAAGTAATCGGATTTATTCTCCTAACACTTAATGTATAACGTCGCATGAGAGAACGACAGCCTTTTCTTCGCTAACCTGTGTCGCGTGTCATATAAAAACCTGTCGAACGTAACCCTCACTTTGTTTACAATGCTTGGAATGCGAAGAGGGATGCACAGGTTGTTACCTTTTTTACAATGTTGGAATGGGCGACGAAGAGGGCGTGAAGTCTCACACATGTGGGACACTTATTTCTATTATAACATTTTAACTACACACAGTAAGCACTCTCTCTCTCTCTCTCTTTCAATTTACTAGTTTATTAATTTTGATTCGGTAAATATTTGTTTACAGCAGAAATTCCAAATCAGTATTATCAAATAAGCTTTGGCAATTCTTCTATAATTTATTAGGTTAACACAAATTTTGTGTTTGATGACTAAAGTTAAATAGAGGCAATAACCATAATTAAAGTTAAATACAGCCAATGGAACCAATGGGGCTCCAATAAATGTTTTTAAACTAAATTTTTTTTTATTTTAATAGTTCAATTTAATTCAGGTCTGAAGGGGTTAACGACTCATCACGTAACGTGTTCCCACGTATCTTGCAGTAACGTTAGACTACTTTTTAAATTTTTTGTCGACCCGATCTCACCGTTGCATCACATGTTAATGATGTAAGAAGAAGTCTCTACTTTCACAGTGTTTCCTGAATAATGCCATTATGTGGTGAAATCACTATATCAATGACATAACGAAGAATCGCAGCGACGAACAGTTGACATTTTTACCGTGATTATACATTGTTGTGAAAACAAGCGATAAATTACATCTGCCGTGTACGATTTTTTCTCGAGGGCTTATGTAACGCTATTGACCCTTGACTCGACATACGAAGAGATCGCGGGGATCGGAAGTGACTCATTAAAAGCATTTCTTTATAAAGTTGCTTGCACGCTAAGTATTGTTGTGTTTAGTACAATAAATACACACTGAGAAAAATATTATTTATTTGACTAAATTAATTTATTTAGTCCTAATTTCTTTTGATGAAAGATGTAGATTAAGTTAAACATATTATATTTGACTTAAATACATACATTTTTTAATGAAAGAAATCTAGATGAACTAAATTAATTTGGCCAAATGAACAATTTTTTTCCTCGCGGTGTATAAAATGTTTTGTTTTCTTTACAAGAAAATAAAGTATTTTAACATTTTTCATAAAGTATCAATCCCAGAGTATTCCCACATCTTTTTCCAATAAAAGTGACATAGAAGTAATGTAGAATGGCTAATCCTGCTGATTTTGCGTTTCACAAAACTAATTAAATGATAAATCGCGTGTGCGGAGCGTGCGATTGTCTCACAGACGTAACACGACACTATAGCGATCGTCTATTTGAATGAAATCTCACATATAATGTTACGTAAATCGAATTCAGGAACTCGAGAAATGAATACGCATAATAGATCTACGTAAGCAAAACGGAGAATAATTTATAATACTGTCTTTTATAGAACAAAAAGTGTAGCCACATAATTTTTCTCATCGTATATTTACAGTCGCTGCAAACATTCACGTTTCGTATACACTGAATATTATACAGTATCCTAGCTTTGTTTGACTATAGGTTATTGACATATTTTGTTTTGATGATTTTTATACAATAAGAATATACCATATATCGCCTGTCGTGGTTACATGTTCGTTCTATATTCAATAATTCGCAGACTTTCTCCGAAAGGATTGTTAGTACATTCCTCGAGTTACGACAGCAAGTTGAAGATAGCTCATATTTTTTTGAGCTACAACTCTATTTGTCATTGGATTTATTTCGCGAATTTAGTTGTCGGAGTTATATCGTTTGTCAAGAAAGTAAAGAAAGACGTTACATAAAACAAGATTTCCCCGATATCGCGTTTCGTCAGTATTCCTAAGGGAAATAATTTCTCTTTCATCTCATTGTTTTTCTCTTTTCTGGGATTTTTGCAATCGTCTCTGATGCCTAGACGTATACGCTCCAATTGTGAAATAATTAAGCAATGCCTCAAGATTTTATAAATGGGGGGATATAATGTTTGATTGATATAAATATCAAGAAACATGCGATACGAATGATAAGTCTATTAAAAAATCAAGAGTACCTTTATGTCGATTTAAATAAAATATTTAATTTCCGTTAGTATCTTTTTATAGATAAGTTATTTTAAATAATTTAGATAGATAAAGCTGATTTTTCTGACAACTTCATCTACCATTTGTAACATGAGCTAGTTTCTCCGATTACCGTTTTATCAAAAGAAAAATTAATGAGAATAGTTCGTTATCATCTAACATTATCTATTCAATTAAAATATGTAAAATTATATAGCTCGAGATATAGCTAAGCAAAAAGAAAGTAAATAGAAAGATCAAAAAACATAAACACGTTTATTGGATCTTGTGAAATTTGTAAATTAGTTTATTAAATCATATATTAAAAGAGTTAAACGTTAAACTAGTTTTTCATCAATTAAAATCATAGGAATGTTTTGACTGTTTAATCTTCATCAGTCTAAATATGATTAAGGAAGAAAAATTATAATAAAGTTTTTAACATTAAACATTGAACAAACATACAATATATCGTACATGAAATCATATCAGGTTGAACACATTATAAATAATTAACAACCTCTGTGAAGTTGGCACCTCATTTTTAAAAAAATGAAATTTTCGATAGAGTTCTGAATGCACCCCGAAGAGTTCTGAAGTTCCTGCCTAAAATAAAAATTAGTGTTCTCCCTAATTCCTATACTTGATCGATAAAATGTATATTTCTGGCTAAGTGAATTTTATTTTAAGTTCTTATCGAGAAATAAATAGATAACTGAAAACAGGGAGCGAAAGAAAGATGAAAATAGAAAAGATGCTGAAAGTTACTTCTATTAAGAACCCATCATAAAAGCTGTTATCACAGCTGTTCTTCACATTTGATGGACATGCGTGTGCTACGTATGCAACGAGAGATAAGGCAATCAAGCATGTAACGAGTCGCACATGTCGCGTGTTCATCACGCGAACAATATTATGGGGCTGCTACCGCAACTGTGCCGCGTTTGCGAATAGGGGAATGCGGAACAAAGCGCTCGTTGCTGCGAATATACTACTCGAGTCAGGAGCGGATTAAGTCTAAATAGAATTTGGTGAGGGGCCATAATTTGGTTGCAGCTTTTCGACTATATCGATTGAGCCTCGAATTAAATTCTCGTTGCAAAATGAACTCCGCATGAAGTGAAAAATAAGAGTTCATCACCGAATCTCTGAAGCGTAACATTTCGGAAATATATGCAAAGTTCCAATGCAGTTCACTGATTATACGAAGTTACATATTTTGTTTATTTACTGGACAACTAGTTTATGCATTGCAATATAACTTTACACATAAATAATTTTGAATACATAATATATTTATATTAAAAGGTTTTTGTAATTTGTTTTATAATTCATTTCCATACATTGTTATTAGGACACAAATTTAAAAAATATTACTATTTATTAAAACGTATTATTTTAATATGTGATTTAGAATAATCTGTAATTTTTTCATAATTTTGTTATTATATTGAAAATATGTTCAAAATACCCTTAATGCATTATACATTTTACCTTTTAATATAAAATTATAAAATTTATTCTCTATTCTTTCAAAATCAAGTAACTCACGGTGCATATATTTAAATATATATACACCATGGTTTTTTTTATTTGTTTAAAAAAGGAAATGAACTGTAAAAATTGCCAGGACGAGATTTCTTTCCGTACGGCCCTGACACTTTCTGGGGTTACCTCTCTCTCTCTCTCTCTCTCTCTCTCTTTTTCTCTCTTGCCATAAGCGGAACATAGTTCTCTCGGAAGTCCTTTTGTACAAACAACAATGGCAATCGTGATGAATTAATACCTTTTTACTGCCACTTATCGTACTATCGGCAATCGGTTTCTGCAATATCACGCTACTGCTCCGCAATCTCAATCGTACTGATTAGTTTGTGCGCGAAGTGCAAG